CTCTGTTCATTTAGTAATTCCAAATAACAGGGGAATGTGCTCAGACTAAAATCTATTTTAAAAAACAACCAGATTTTTAAAGGAATTCAGGATTACTTTTCATTAAGTTATGTTTATATTTAATGATCTCTGTTAATAGAGTATTAAGCATGTTTGCGATGCTCATGTTGCAAAGAAGTTGTACAATGAATACAGAAGTTATTCAGAAATGCATTGTCTGTTCTCAGCACTAAACGTTTGCTTTACTTCCTACAGATGCACATAATATCCTGAACAACTTAGGTATAAAGTACTCTGCTGGTTTTTCAGTAAATATTTCAGTAGTTCCATGAAATTTAATTCCCACTTTACTATTACACAAGTGACAGTCTGAAGGGATTAACAAATTCTTAACTTTTTTTTCCTGTGTCAAAAGAAACAGCTCCTTTCCACGGACAGACATAGGTGGTATATGCTGGCCACAACGGAGGCAGAGAATTTATTGTTTATCAGAAGTGCTAGCTGCTGTTAAAATTATTCCTGCCATTTTGCAACACAAGCTAGCAAGTAAAAGACACGATTTCAATAAATAAAATCTCTTATCAGTATCTAATTCTCATGGTCTTGAGGATACTTAATTAGACTCTACAGTGAGCCCCTATTTTAAGCCTTCTCGAAGCTGTGTGCCTCTACCTACTTGAGGAGCAACTTTAACTGGTCCTTCAGTAGAAAAATCTTCTGCTTTCCAGAAGCAAAATATTTATTTATGTAAATATTGTGACTTCAGATGCAAACCAAAGTCAACAGCAAACCTATATTTTTCCTCTAAAATACACAGGGGACTAAGTAAAGGGACTGCTGGTGTAAACATACTTTTAGAGGTGTCAGTCTCCAGATGTGGAATCCAGGATCTGTAGTTATACAATTATTGTTATGGGGTAGCAGTTTTAAATACCATGTAATTTTAATTACTAAATTACTGAACTGTGTTTGGAGAATGTAATAATGGACCAGCTCTCCTGCTTTTTAAGTCACATTATCTTATTTCCATGGCTTATAAGACTCCACAGTTACTGAAGAAGAAAAATCTTCAGTAATTTCATTTAATATTCCATTGCTGCCTGTTTTTCTGCCCATTGGATACATGTAGCAAAAACATTTCCACATCTAACAAAGAATGTTTTATTCCTTTTAAATTACCACAGTGTTTCAGTATTCCATTAAAATCATAACATGCTTTCAGTAATATTTTTGCAGATTACATTACATTAGAGAATCTTATGATGACGTCTTCACACTGGACAGATTGTTGTCTAGAAAGGTTTATTCTCTTTGACATCAATTTTTTTGGACACTTTTCAAACAACAAGCATCTGTAAGATAGAAGGGATGAAGAGGTTGAGGAGACTTGATTGTCAAAACTACCAGTGAAAGAGATGGAAGCAAAGCACTGCTGATTTGCGCAACTCAGAAAATTTTTATGTTGCTTTTCTTCCACAGTTTCCATGGGGAGAAAGACTGAAAATACAGGCTACTGTCACCCTTCCTTGAGGAAGGAAGAGCACTTCCACTTTATATAATCTCACAGTGAAGATGTGGGTTCAGATGCCCTCGGGCAGAGCAGGGATGTGAACTGGTTTTCCCACATCCTCAGTGAATGTTCCAGCCACCAGAGTACTGGAAAGTGCTGGGATTATTCTTCCTTCCAGCCTGTGAAACGAGACTTTTGATTCTAATGCTACTCACGAAAAGTGATGGGCACTAAAATATTGCAGAAATGTCAAAAGAAGCTGTTCTAGTCTGCCCTAAATTAGTGTTTTTAGTTTATTTATTTATTTATTTAGAAAGTAACTAATACACAGAGGATCATTCATCCATTCATCCATTTTCTACATTCAAGGCAGTAAGACCAGATGCTAAAAACTATTCTTTCTCAGGTAGTCAAACTCCATCATCCCTATCAGGACGCAGGTATTGTTTTATATTTATATTTATATATTGTCTTTATCACCTTGGATATCCTTATTGATCATTCTAATCTTGTGCCATAGGGACAAACACAAGATTTATGTTCATCTTCATTTTCCTGTACCATGTTCAAGAAATGTATAGATCACACATGCTTTTTCTCCAGCTTGACAGAGCACTGGGACATCAGTTCCATCTGGCCTGACAGAACTGGTCCTGCTTTAATGGCCCATTCCATCACCCACTGATATCTCCATACAGCACTTAGGCAAAGCACCTCCTTCAATCACTTCGCATTTTGGGACCCAACTTTCATCACGTATTCTGAGGAAAGTATCTGTGTATGCTGTGAGCATAAAGCCTCTTCCTCAGGTATTCTTTCATTTTCATTCTCATAAAGAGAATGAAAATGCTTATTGAAACTAAACTTGCTTATTGAAAGCAAACTTCTAAGTTACTCTTTTAAGAAATGAGAATAAATTTTATATCTTGGTCTATTTTCATATAAAACCACTTATGCTAAAAATTAGATACTTCTCTACTTCCTACTTTTTAAAAATAGTTTGTACCTCTTGATATGAAAGTTGTCTGTGCAGGCACAGAGTTGAATTCTTTCATTTGCTGACATATTTCTAAAATATCAGAAAATAATCAAAATATTGAAACTATAAAATAACATATTAAAAAGGGATAGTCATGTAAAATTGTACACTGAAAAATCATAGTAACAAAGTATGCCTAATATTAATACTATAAATTTTGAAATAATTGTGAATAATTAAAGCTACTTTGTATTTAAAACCATTTTGTTAGTTTTAGAAAGAACTCCTGAGAACTGAAAAACCACAGTGATAACCTCATTCAAAAAGTAACTTATTATTCTGAGAGAGAATAGTTCACATAAGTACAATTTCCCCCCAACTCTTCAGTTCTACAATTAGATTTCTGATTTTCCAAACCACAGACACACTCATATTTTGACTGGGTAACTTACATTTCCAAGTCTGGAGGCTCATGACTGGGGGGGTTAATGCCACAGCAGTACCTGTTAGGCATCCTCCAAATGCCTCCATGTCTTTTCTGTCGCTCTGGTACCCCTGCTCTTCTGAGAAGCCTCCCTCCGTGCTCTCCTAAGTATCATGCCACATGCAGAAGACTGGCTCATGCATTTCCTCTTCATTCTCTGCTTCCCCAAATCCTACATAATGTGAAAATGTAAAGAACATTAACCACCATGTAGGCTCCCCATTAACTGAAATGTTCCTAGTGACTATCACTGTAATCTCTTTTTACACCATCTTAATCCTTCTTATGTGGACTCACACATAAAACTAGAAATAAAAATATTTCAGAAAGCTATCATTAACCCTAGCACCAAGCTTTATTTCTAATTCAGATTTAACTTCCTGAACTAGTTTGGTGAACATGGAATACAATAATCCATATCAGAAGATGACTTTTGGATGTTTTCCATGTCAAAGTAGAATCAATATATACTGGTATTTTTTTCATTAACATCAGTTATTTCATCATCAGTTATTTCAGTTTCAAAACGAAAAGAAAAATGTAGCTAAAGAATAACTCAAACAGTACATTGAACTTTCCTTTCTTAATGCCGATGTCAGTAGCAAAAATTTAAATTCTCCTTCCATCATTGCCCTGTATTTTGAGTAAACAAACAAACAAACAAAACACCAAAAAAACAAACCAAACCAAATGGAAATACCCTGACAATAAAATACATAATAACATGTAAACATAGGGATGGAAGATTCAAACTACACTGAAGTTTTTTAAGCACTTTCTGAGAAATATAAGCACTGAAATCATTGGACCTTTGAGGATTATGTGGGCACTTCAGGGTGATGGATGAGATGCAGTATCTGCCTACCTAGCTCAGAGTCAGGTGAAAAAGGGATGGTTTTGTAGTCAATAACAATGAAAAGCTCTTCTTTGGACATTAGTGTTTTGCCTTGACAATTCCACCTTCAAAGGAATTTCATCAGAAAAGCAGAAAACCATCATGCTCTGTGATTAGCTGTAAAATCTTTTTGGCAGGACTATCTGATGCGGACCTGATATACACCCCATTGCATAAAATTGTACGTGTCACTGACTTCTCATCAGGGTGAAATCTTAATCCTACCCACGTCATATTTGTGGCCAATTTCATTGTAGCCGCAATTACCTCCTTCATATTTTTTAACATCTTCGGAAAAGACAATTAGCTGCTTCTGGTCAAAGCAAAAAAGGAAGCACCTTCATGGCAGATTGCACTGCCATGATCTTGTGACGAATGGTTTTGTCTATCCTGTTTCCAGTAATGACTGACAGAGAGAACTGAAGTACTTCGGGTTTGGGGAAATGTTGAAGCTGGGCACAGAGATCTGCAGACAAAGGTTTTCCCCTGTAAGGTGCAGTTTTGCTGGCTGCAGGTGTTGGTCCTGCTCCAGCAGTGTATTTCCACCCAAATAAATGTCACAAACTGTGCTCTACTGAAAAACGGGCCCGGCAGCTCCATGAAGACATAAAAAAACCTGTACAAAACTGTGCTGTTCAAGTGCCCGCACCCACACCACGAACACCAATCTGCTCAGGTTTGCGTGAGGGTATTTTGAATTCAGTTTTTTTCCGCAAGGTCTTTTGTAAGTGGGGAGTGGGTTTTGCCCCCCTGTGTCAGAGGAACCCACAGACAGATGTGTTACGGGGGCCTCTTGGGAAGGATGTGAACTGGGGTAATGCACGGAGGGGAGGGGGGGTAAGTTGCACTGCCCCTGGCCCCTTAGGGTATTTTCTCCCTCATTTCTCCCGCTGGTTTACCGATCACCGCAGTGACCCGCTCCAGATGTGGGGCGTGGGAAGTTTTGCTGGCAATAACCCAGGCCACAGCTGGAGGTCTGGCCAGCCCCGTGCCTTCCAGGACGAGGGACCGCAATGAGCCCGAATATGCGGCCGGCGGGTGCGGCGGGAGCAGCAGCCCGTCAGACTCCCTGTCCCAGCAGGCCGAGCGGCGGGCGGTGCGCATGCCCGGCCGGCACAGCCCGGCACAGCTCACGCCCCCCTCGGCCGGGCCGTGCGCGGCGGAGCAGCGGGAACACCATGGAGGCCGTTCCGCAGCCCCGTCCCCGGCCCGGCGGGGCCGCCGCCGCTCCGCCGCCGCCCCCGGAGCAGGAGCGGAAGCTGGAGCAGGAGAAGCTGTCCGGGGTGGTGAAGAGCGTCCACCGGCGGCTGCGCAAGAAGTACCGAGAAGGTGACGCGGGGGAGGGGCCGCCCCGGACGGGCCCCCGCTGCCCCCGCCGGCGGCAGATCGGGGTGTCCCCCCGCGGGCGGGGGCCGGCGGCCGGCCCGGTACCCCTGGCGCTGCCGAGAGGGTGTGTCGGGGGAGGGTGGCCGGAGCAGCGGCCGGGAGCAGCTCCGCTCTCGCTTCCTGCTCCTCCCCGGCAGAGCGGGGTCGCCGCTGCCATTGGCTGCCCGCAGCCCCGCCGAGGGCACCTGGTTGGGGCTGCCGGGGCTGTGCCGCTCTCCTGGAGCTGCTGGCAGCGGACCCTCCTTCCTGGCTGGGGTGGGAGCGTCCCAGTCGAATAGCAGTTTTCCAAACCGAGGATCTGCAAGAGCGAGGACAGTAGGTCATGAATGCCAAGAGAGATTGAACGGTGATCTGGAAAGGCACAAGTCTTTGTGAATTGTTTGTGCCTCCTGTCATTCAGTCGTAGAGCAGTAGTTCTGTATGGAGCACTAAGCGAAAGGGTTGGGGTAAAGCTGTTGTAAAATAAATTACGCAGAGTCCTTGAAAAGTCTACTTTGTCATCAATATTAATGCCCTGATGCAAGGTTCCTGTGGGGGTATTGGAATGCTTTAAAACCTCTCTGAAATGCTAGCACAGATTGCAGAACATTCATCTCTTCATTCTTGCAGTGTCCACAGCTCTTTGGTGCATAGCTCTAGAAGAACACACATAAAATGGGAGCTCTTCCTGTTGTAGGCAGTAGTTCTTGCCTCTTCTCTATATCTGCGTATGACACTTGGTCGAAGAAACAAGATCATACTGCCTTCTGGACTTCCAAAGTCTCCCTTGGAGCCAGTTCATGGGATTTGGGCACAAATACCTACCTATCTAGACACTGATTGAATGTTGCTGTTTGTTTTGGCCTTGCTGAGTCAAAACTGAAGGATCTCCCTTCTTCGCTCAGATGTTGGGAGAATGAACCTGATATATTTAAATGTTGAAATTTTGGCAAAGGAGTCCAGCTTTTAGCAGTACGTTTCTCTGTCATTCCAGACTGCCTGCAGATTAAGACAGAAAAACGTTGGCACTGCGCTTTTTTTTTTTAAGTGAGCAATCTCTGTAACAACTGATTTTTTTTAGATGAGAGCCTAAATTACATGGGAGTCATTGTAAGCCTGCTTCTCAACAAAGAACAAGTTTGTGTGCAAGGGTAGGTTGCGTGTAACTGGTTAAGCAAAAGACAGGCTAGCACCCTCATTTACTTCGTACGTCCTGTAAATCATGCATTAGTGAAAACTTTAGAGTGATTTTTCTAGTCCCTCTAAATTAGCAACATGGTATGTCATTTCACTGAGAGTTCAAACCAACCGTTCATCACATCTGTACAGCAAGGAGAGCTCCACCCATTACCTACTTGTCCAATAGTAGGTGGTCCTTACAAGTTAATAGTGGCTAGTGGTCAGTTGTACTTCATATGTTAGGTTCTTTTAACTTAAGAATTTTATTTTTGGTGTCTTTTCTCCCTACATCTCTCTATGCTTCTAAAAGCAGATCTGAGAATCTCCTTCTTAAAAGCCCTTAGTGCCATTCTGAAATTGTAATACTAGGACATGCTTGACCTCTGAAGGATCTTTTCTTGGATTTTTTTTCTGTAATGCTCAGTGACACTGACTGGCAAGTAACTTAGCCTGAAAAAATCAAAGATGGCAGTTTGCTAAAACAAAGTAAAAAATCAACAAATAATCTGTAATCTCTCAGTACAGTTTGAATTATAACTTGGATATGAAAAAGCAAAGAGAAAACACCCACATCCTTGCTTATGTGCTTACAGCTCATTACACAAGGAAAGTGTCTTGACTCCACTGTGCAATGCACTCACCTCTGTATGAAGCAGAAGCATTTTTCTGTATTACTCCAGAATCTTGTAATGTCTTCCTTTTTCCTTTTTTTTTTTAACTCTCTCTGCCTCTTCTTACATTTACTAGAGTTCTGTGAGCTAGTTTCCATTTTGTCTAGATAAGCAAACATGCAAAATTGCTGTTGCATGGACTTCAGTTGTTTGTAGGAACTAAAACAGAATCACATATTAATTTTGGTGGTAGATGAAAAAGCATGTTGAGTATCCTTCTGAAAGCTACATTATTATTTTGCACAGGATAGATATGTCTAAGAAAGCCCTTGATATTGTAATATGATCTTAAGTTATTGTCTTCTCTTAGAAGTGTTGCATTAGATGCGTCCTTGAGACACTGAGGTGTGTGTTGATAGAAGTTATACAGGCTTGATTTTAATAAGCTGATTTCTTTGAGAATTCATTTGCCTTGCTGATGTTAGCAAGGTTTGTGTTTTAATGGACAATTGTAAAAGGTAAGCTAGTGCATTATCTGAGTTGTTTATAACTGTCACCATTGCTATAATTTTGTTTCATTTCTGCAGTGGTTCCCCTCTTTTTTGAAGATGAACCAGTGGAAAAGCAACAATGTGGTCCAAAACTGCAAGCTAACGTGTTTTTGAAGAAGTTGCATACTTGTCAAAGTGCAAGAGCAATATTTCTTAACTAGGGATGCATCACAGCAATTTTTTTGCTGTTACTAAGGAATTGCTACAGTGTAGTCAGCATCATGTCATCTAAAGGGTTTGATTTTTTTTTTTTAATTTGTTTTTTTCTGGTTAAAATTTAACTCTTGAGATTGATGAAAACTGAACCTTGGCTTGTTTTTTAATTTCTGCGCTTGTTGAAATGCTTCTGCTAGTAAGTATCTTGTGTTTTTTATGTACTTCTGTACTGTGACTCATGTCATATCATAATCCCAGAGCATGTCAGTGTATTTGGGACAAGCATTTACCATCTTTGAAATGGTGAAGCTGAAATGCTTTTAAGTTTGCATTGAAGTGCATGTTTTTGTTTTCTTAAACAATTTTAGGTTTTTTACTGTGTGACTAGTACTTTAGTCTCTTGAACTTGGTTCTGTTGCTTTGTATCACAGGTGACCCCAAATTTTACAGTTTTCCTTTATGCATCTTTTGGGCACCTGCAGCCATGGGCCGGAGCATGTTGTGTTCGTTGCATAAATGCATGGATGTTTCATATATTGCATGTAGGCTGATGTCTGTCAAGCCTGACAGATAGACTTGTAAAAGCAGATTTAGTGGTTCATAAGGAACTACATAAGATCTACTGAACATCTGCTATGTGATGTGTGTTTGTTTCCAATTGCTTGTAGTAGCCAAGTAGGTTTAATTTTTACTGGGATAAAAATCCCTTCTCCTGATACAGAGGCATCCTGTTTTTCTCTTAGTTGTTTATTACCTTACTCATGCAGAGCTGTATTTATTAAGTAACATTTTCTCTGCAACATGACCCTCAGTTATAGATGGTTTTGTGTGTAGTCTGAAAGATGATTTGCAGGATGCTGTACTTTTCCCTCAAAATCCCATATTGAGTCCAAGTGGAAAAAGTTGCAGAGGTATCTGTAAAGGTATTTTATGACATATATTCCTGTATGTTCACCAAAACAGTTCATTTCTCCTTACATGCACCTATTAAGGCTGGTTAGGCTTAAAGAATCACACAGAATTGGTGTTTGTCATGTTACTAGTTACCATATCACAGAAGCTGGCAAAAGCATTTCTAGATGGTAGTTTGATTCCTTAAAAGAAAGATTTGTTGAAACTTCATTGAAATGGATAACAACTTTCTTAAAGGTTTTTCAAATTCAGAAAATAAGGAAGAATTTAAGGACCCTGCCTGATGATAATAAGTAGCCTGAGTAGGTGTGGTTTAGACATTTAGACAGAAGAGTTGGTCTGAAGTCAGTTGTTTCATGGCGTCTTTGTCTCTCATGTTTTTCATGAAAAACCTGGAGAGAGCTTAAGTTCTTCCCTATGTGAAAGATTTTGAAATGGCGTCATTTTTCACAGGACAGGAAAACTTTATCATTGAACTCTACAGGATAAGTTTACAGTTGTTAGTCCTTTTTGTTAAATATAACTGGCTTACAGTAGAAATAAACCTATGTTTTCAAGATCTCAAGTTGTGTTTCCTCATTTGCATTAATTTCTTGGAAGAAGAAGACATTTTGTAATACTAACTGTTCCATTTTCAACTCATAGAAACTAAATTTTATTTTATTAAAATGAAAATTGATACTATTTTATGACATAGGTTCGATTGCCTTTAAAGTTTGCACTACAGTTTTGTATGGATGCTTTCATTAGAAATCCCATAATATTTTATGTTTTGCAGGATTTAATTGTTGCTATCATTTAGTTAGGCCATAAATTTGAAAAAGCACTGGCTGCAACACAAGCACCCATTGAATAAACAGGTATCTGTCACCTTCTTCCCTCCTCCTTTATAGGGAAGTTTGTGTTCCTATTGCAGCATCAGCATAATGCATCAGCTGCTTCCAGTTTTTGCTCCTGCATTTGCACAAATTCCCAAATTCAGTAGTTTCTGTTAAAAGTGTTCATCTCCGTGTTGTTGGTGTTAAGGTGAGCTCATATTCCATCCCACAAAGTCAGGCCTGGGGAAGAGGAGAGTGAAGTTTCCAGCAGAGGAGATCCAACACCTGGGGGCAGTAATTGCTTAAACTATCACAAACAAGCTCCTCAGTGTTTGTGTGACAGCCATCAGAGACTTTCAGCAGATCAGAGACACAGATCTGTCTTCAAGGTGATCTGAGCTGACCCCCCGTAGATGCTGAAATATCAGATGAATTGCGCCCTCTGAGTCTGTTCAGCGTAAACAGATGGATAGGAGGTTTATCTGACGGGTCAAATGTAAAAATCCACGTTTGGTCAAATGAATCCTTTCTATGTAAGTGGAAGGAAGGAACATTGATACTGAGACAGAGAAAATTAGATTCTTACACTTCAGGTTTTTTAAATATTTTGTTCTGAAGTATTTCAGGTAAGTCCTGAGAAATATGAAACAAATACTAGTCAGATAAGAGAAGGAAAATATTAGCTCTAATTGCTTGAACTTTGTCCAAGTTGAAGTTCATGTTCTGTACATAGACAT